CTTCTGAAACTCAGCATATGTATTTGTGATTGCATTGACTACTGCTATCATCCTCTGAAGATTAAAGAACAGCTTGTCAATAAGGGTTTATCTTGTAGTTCTTCTTGATAATCTTGATCTTACTCATTAAATATAAGAATTTTGTGATAAATTTATAATAATTATTTTCATTACATATAATCAGCTTATAATACTCTTTTTTAACATTTTGCAGCTTGTTAACATTCTCATATATTGACTTGAGATGTTTAAATATCTCCTCTGCAGTCTGATATCACTCAGAGTGATTCTCTTTCATATGAGATATAATATGATATACTGTATTTTCATCTGTCTGATTCTCAATGTATACAATCTTCATATGTTCTGTAGAGTAGTGATTGATATTCTTTTAAAAGTTATTTCTCATGCAGAAGAGTTAGTACTTCAATTTTGACTTTTTATTATCAGTGAGATATTTTAAATCATTAATCTTGATGAATTTTCTTATGTTCTCTGAGAAGATAGTATCTTGATCTATTGCTTGATTGCTAATTATCATTTGAATTAAAATGTAACTAAGCTCATCATATTCTATTATAAACTCATTAATTTAACTCTGTTTGATAACTGTTGAGCTGCAGCATCATTTTATTTCATTTACAGACATGTAATTGTGTTTCTCAGTACCTTCTCATTATCAAAAATGCTGTCAAAGATTACTGCTAACTTATTGTAGACATGATTCTTGTCTAAGTAAATTATCTCTCTGAATTTCTTAACTGAAATACATAATTGATCAATTAATCTTGTTAGAATGTATTATCAGTTCTTTTGACCTCTTTTAAGAGATTGAGAGCCTGCAGTGGCTATTTGATATTGAATTGAGCTGTTGTCTTTGACAGTTGATCTGACATATTGTAAGACTTTCAACTAGCAGATTTTAATTTAATTGAAACACTTAAATTTTTTATTTTTTTACTAAAACCTGAGTGGAAAGGTAAGAGAAATTTTAATATTATATTAAGAAGTGAATGCAAAATGCATAAGAACAAAGCTCTCTGTGTTGCTAACTGCTATATAACAAAATACTATCATTAATGAGAAAAAAAAATATCAGAGTCTGCTCAGATTATAAACAGCCCATGTGATTATATAACTGAATCACAAAATGTGAGATGGTTGAACCTTCTATTCAGAGAAGCTAGCTAAGTTATTGCTATATTACATACAAGTGATCACGTGTGAGTGGGGCAGTTGTTAGGGCAGCGCCATCCAGACAGGTACTGCTACACCCTTCCTCATATCACCATGCAGGATCTCAAATGCCATATGTGAAAAAGAAAAAACTAACTATGTCATCCTCAAATTCATTCAAATCATGCTACATATATTAAGTTTTGATATTTCTGCCTTTTCTGCCTGTAAAATCAAGTAAATCAAAGAATTATTGAAATGCCACTGTGTTCAGAGGTTTAGTCAATCCATCTGCTGCCATTTCTTCAGTTGAGATGTATTCAATTGAGATAATGCCATTGTTCAATTGGCTACAGGTATAATGAAATTGTGTGTCAATATACTTGCTTCTAGCAGTGATTGCGACTACAGTGATTAGATTGATCACACCTTTATTATCTGTCTTGATTGATAAAGGGTCATCTACTATAAAGCTTAGATCCATCATCATGCTTCTTAACCACATTGCTTCACATACAGCCTCACTCAATGCCACATATTCAGTCTCATTGGAACTCAAAGAGATGCACAGCTGCTTGCTTGATCACCATGAAATTGATGTGCTGGCAAGCATAAAAACATAATCAGATATAGAATTCCAATCACCATTCAATAGGCCAGCCCAGTCGGAATCTGTGTATCCAACTGACATATATGCCATGTTCAGGAACTCATTCTCAGGTCCTTCATCATCATCATCCTTCGTGTAAAATATGCTGATTTCACGCGTGTCTTTCAAATATTGAATGATATGTAATAAGGTTTTTCATGTCTTAGAGGTAGGAGTGACATTCTTCTGTACTAATAGGGAAGCTGTGCAGATGATATCTGGCTGCAGTTTAATTGCCAAATACTGCAAGCAGTCAACACTGTGTTGAAATTACTGTTTTGTAAAATCAGCCTCTTTTTTAGGAATAGAGAAGTCATCCAAATATAGACTCTCATCCATGAGTATTCAGACAGTAGTTGCATCACCCAGGTAGAAATCTTCTACCAATCAATCAATATAATGTTGGAGGGTCAATTTGATACTGTCATTTATATATTTTACTTTCATGTCTAGATATTTTGTGAGTTCATTCAAATCTTTGATCTCAAGCTTCTGGTGTAGAACATCAACTAGCCAATCAGTATCCTTCAGGGCGTCTGCAAAAATATGAAGATCATCAATGTATATGGTCATATATAGGTGTTTTCAGGCTGAATGCTGCCAAAGGGTAAGATCATAAAGACTTGAGATAAAGCTATTCTCCTGTAGCAGAGCTGTCAAGTAATTATATTATATTTTGACAGCTGAATCCAACTCATATAGATCCTTCAATTGCACAAACAAGCATGTGTGGAGCTCCTTCTTCAAAGCCAGTAGATTGTCTCATATAGACTGTTTTTCCAAGTCTTCTGTGTAAGTATGCCATCACTATATTCACCTGCCATAGGGTCTAACCATGTTTTGCAGTGATCATAAACAATATGTGATTCATGATATCTGTAACTACAGAGGTATATGTTTCTTGGTGTGTTCTCTTTTTGAGTCAATTGTCACAAATTACTCGTCTGAACTTTTACAATATGTCATCTTCATCAGCATTGAGGTCACTGAGGCAGTCCTTTTCAACAAAGACCCAGTGGCCAGGTGCTACTAGCTCATCATGAAGGACATCAGAATATGAAATTAATGTTCAAGTCTTCTGATGTTTAAGATTGTCAATTTTATAATATATAGATTTCCTTCAATATGATCTCACCTGTGAATGATTAATTGCATTCTTGAAGCTTTTTAGCAAGCTGCTTGTAATTGAGGAAAGTGTGTACATCATGAAGGCTTTCATAGGCCTCATCTATGGAATGTGTAGTTCTGAAAAATCAGGAACTTCAGAATCATCCTCTATCAAATAGATAATAGGGGTCAGGGTGTTTTCAACTTCAATTGTTGTAGTAGTGGTAGAATTCTTTTGTATTTCCTGCACTTTTGTAGGGAAAACCACATCAGACATATCAAAAATCTTATCAAAGGTAGGACTCCACATGTGATAGATTGACTGGCCACAGAATTCAATAAGTTTGCACAATTCAGTCTGAGTGAACAGCTTATTCACCAGCTTCTGCAATCCATGAAGGTGGATAAAAATATTAGATTCAAGCTCACAGAAGTGGGTAATCTGCAGTAGCATATTTGTCAATGCTGAAAAAGGAATTGTATGAGGACTATGAGTGGACTCTTTGCTGTCACCATTTACGATTACAGGCTAATACTTCTCATTATATAAGATTGTAGATGTGGGTGTATTATTCATGATTAAAACAACTGTTTCTAGAACATCTGCTCAGAACTTCTTTAGAATTTTCTTTTCTATAATGATTGCTCTGGCTCACGTCATAATAATGTAGATGCCATATTCAGATACATCATCTTGATGAGATGATTGAGAAGTAGTTGATTCCCACACTGTGCTGTCAGCAATCATTAATGTTGTCATCTTTTGCAATTGAAAAACCTCATCTACATCTGTCCTAATGTAGGCAGAGGCTGAAAAACTGAGGTTCTTAATGAACTTAACTCAATAAAAATAATAATCAAATGCTTGGTCTTTGCTATGTAGGAAATAGATTCATCTGAATCATATTATGTCATCTGTGATTAACATGAAATATTTTGTGCCTTGGTGAGATTCTATAAAATGATTGTCTGTATTGCTCAATGTGCAGTCACCACTTATCAGATTAATATGAATTCATTTTATTGGCCTTACAGCCTGTGGCATAGGGGTGATTGAGTATTTATGTGTCATATCTGCTTTGACACAGGTGTCACAGAAGAAATTAGTCTTGAGGCCCTTGATGCAGATATCAGATAGTGGATTCTTTGTCAAAGCTATAATGACTCCCACGTATATATGCCTCAGGTCAACATGCCACTCAGCAAGTGTTTTCATAACTCTAGGTGATTCTTGAGGTTGGAGTTAAGCATTGACAGGATTGTTGTCACCAGTGATGGTCAAGGCCTTAGCATAATCATTATTGTATATATGTGATTTTGCTGTGAAATAGATCACTTTTAACTCATGATGAGTATCAACTTCCAACATCCTTTCAACTATTTTATAAATCAAACTCTGAGCTGTGTGAATCACAGTGAAAATAACACTATTGAAGACCTTGATGATGAAATAGGACAGGGTGTTTGAATTTGAAAGTTCATATCAAAAACCCTAGTTCTTCAACTTAGCAAAAGACACTAAGTTGACAGTAAGATTTGAAACATAATAAACATCACATATAAATATATCCCCTTCATCAAATTCTAGAATGAGATTCCCAATCTCTTTGACATGATCATATCTGCCATCTGCTGTATGAACCTTAAGGTTGCTGTTATAGATTTTTCATTGAATAATAGACTGCTTTTCTCCTGTCATATGAAAACTTGCACATGTGTCAAGAAACCAAGACTTGAAGATAATATCAGTGATTGCTGACAGAGCAATTGCAGCATTGACAGCAGTAAATTATGTTGCTAGAAGATCAGAAGATTCATTCTTTTTATCATTTTTATTCTTCTTTTTGTCCTTTCATTTATTATGACTGCTGATGTTGCTATTTTCTATGAACTTGACAATATTATCCTTATTTGTCTTCCTCCATTCTTTAGTGGCAAGTTCAGGGTGTAATCATCAACAAGAATCCTTAATGTGCTGATTTGAGTGGCAGATCTTACATTTGAAACTATTTAAATTTATAGTATCAGACAAGTTGAAGTTTGACATGAAGAAGATAGCCACATTGACTCATGAAGGTTTGAGACATTCATTAAACTTGCTCATACAATTCATTAACTGCTTCATGAGATTATCAATATCATTATTTTTAATAGAGTCCTGGTCAGTGATGTAGAAATCATTCAAACATGTTTTAACAAAAGACTTTTGATGTTTTTTCAAATCAATAAGGAAAAGATCATGATAGAAGTCCTCTGAGTTGTTCATCAGTTTCTTATAATGTGTAACTAAGTAGCAGAATCCTCTTTGAAATATCAAATAATCATTGTTGACATGTAGAGTAGTCAGCTTCTTTATGACATTGAGACATTCTTCTGTCAAAGACACTGCATATTCAACATCAATCTTTTTCCATAATGCAGTAGTGTTGTTGAGTTCCAAAACTCTAATGATTGTATATACAGACCTCAATAAGAATTGCAACATATGTCAATAGAGTGCTTTGATTCAAATATTTCATTTTTCAGCATCACATGTTTTGACTAATATCATCTGGATAGACATGTTGAATCTTGATTAGAATGTCAGTTCCACTAATGACTTCAGCATCTGCAAGAATTTCTATTCACCAGGTTTGATAATTAGTGTTATTGAATATAGTTACAGTCTTAGTATCTATAACTCTTTGGACATTCTTTTGATATTCACAGATCTGAGATTTGAAATCATCTGCAGGTGTATCATTGTTGATATTTAAAGTGTTCTGATGTGTCATTTGTTGACAAAAGATCAACAAATCTGCTATACTCATTGTAATCATGTCACTTGTGTTAGGAGTAGATATTTGATACTGAGGACTTGAAGTTCCTTCACTAGCTGCTGTGGATTCATGTATAGACTCAGAAGCAGATGTTTCATCAGACTCATGACTTGATGCATTCATGATGCAGTTTGAACTTGATTCCTGCTCCAGGCCTTCTAATTCTTTGTTCTCATCTAGTGATGAGAATACTCCAACAGCTCTAGAATGTGATTGTAAAGATCACTTTCTCTCTGTTAAAGAAGTAGATAGTTCAGTCATTAGATCAGAGGATGAACTCATTCAGACATGTACACAGCTGTTCTTAACACAATTTTTGTTATAAATCAGCTATCTGAGCTATAACCTGTGGGATGATTGAACCTTTTATTCAGAGGAGCTAGCTAGGTTATTGCTATATTACATACAAGCAATCACGTGTGAGCGGGGCGGTCGTTAGGGCAGCGCCACCCAGGCGGGCGCCGCTACACAAAACAGCTCACATGATCATGTGACTGGGTCACAGCTGATCCACTAGATTCTATGTGAGGTGTGATCACATGATAGGGATAAACCTAGCCTCAGCACTAAGTCTAACATATAAACTATTTTTAATTATTTTAAAATAAAGCTTTAAGAAGAATTTTAAATGCTTTTAAAATATTTTCTATTAAAGCTATGAAAATAAAAATATAAAATCCACTATTAGTTATTAGATTTGATAAAAAATATATAAATTATCTTTTAAAAATTATTATAATAAATGCAAATCATTCAATTTAAATAAAAGTATTTACTTTATATTTTATATATATATCTAAAAAAGATATAAATATAGAAAATTTTCTAGATTAAAATAAAAACTATAAAAATTTAAAGAAAATATTATCTTCTCAACTATATAAAATATGTACTATGATTAAATATTAACTATTAACTTTAAATATGAAAAATATAAATTATAATAAACTCTATTATTAAATAAAAATTTAAACTTATTAATAAGTATTACTATGGTAATGATGTAAAATAAGTTTATATTCAATCTTCTCAATAGTGTAATCTTCACAGGCTAAAATGATCAGAAATTGCAACTATCTAGACAATGACATAGTAGTCAATCTCATAATTACCTTACATACAAATAACATAATATAGCAATTGTCTAAGAACTGTACTAAGAAAAAAAAGCTATATAAACAAAATTTTCTCTGAACTTACCTTTTAGAAATTATTTTAGTATTCACTTATATAGTTTATTTAGTTAACAATTAAACATCTGTTTATCTATATTTAGATTGAAGTTATAATATAATACTAAAATTAAACATTTTTCTTGCTCTT